TAAGGCCAGGGAGATGCTCAGTCAGTGAAGTACTTTTTGCACTAGCAGAACAGCCAGAATTCATGTGAAGAGTAACAATAGACAGGTGTGGTGCCATCCACAGTGCTGGGAAGGCCTCTGAGACAGGAGCCCTGGCTAGCCAGGCCAGCTAAATTGGTAAATTCCAGTTCAGTGAGAGACCTTGTCTCAAACACGGTAGAAAATAACCTAAGGTTGACCACTGGCCTCAACATATGTGCACAAATGCACACATATCAAACTCCTGACAGTGAATAAATGAATCAACGAGGGCCAGGGACATGGCTCAGCTGCTAAAGGCACTTGGCCATCAAGACTGAGGAGCTGAGTTTGATCATTGGACCCACATGGAAGGAGAAAACTGGAGTCCTTTGATTGTCCTCTAAACTCGAAACAAACAAAAGTTAAAAAAATAAAAAAAACCCGAATAAATAAGTAGATAAATAAGCTTACTGATGCTCTGACCTGAGACCTAGAGTCCTACAGCTTTGAGATGATGGGTGTCTAGAATTTGAAAGGAGTGACTGACTGTATCTGCTCTCTGTCTCATTGTCTACCTGAAGCTGAGCCCTCTCCAGTCTTCAGCAGTCTAGATAGACCCTGGTCACACCCTACAAATAATGGAAAATGCCTAAGAAAAACATAGGGAGCTTTTGGGGCAAGGATTTCTGTATGCTGACACACTGAGTCAGAATACCTGCGGATCAAGGTGCAGAAATGTTCTATTAACAAGACTTCAGGTGGATTTGCTGTGCATTCAGCTTGGGGACCACTGGTAAAACCCCAGTCCCACCCTGGACCCACACGCAAGCTAACCATGCCCTCACCTCCACCTTCCCAACCCCTCTATTCTCCTCTCTGACTGTGGGGGGTGTTCAACTGTTTTTCTTCTCCAAACAAAAGCGCCAGTTCCTTCATTCACATGTCCTGTTGCTGTCATTGACCCCATGTTCTTCTGAAATCACCCTGGGTTCCGAGTGCCTTTGAACCACAGCATCCCAACCTAAAGGCTGAGTTACAGGCATGACTGGGTCAGTACCACACATTGAGGACTCATGCTTTTCTAGTTTATCAGGTTTTCTAGACCACAGAAGGATGGGCTTCTCTGAAGCTGTAGGGCAAACTGAGCTTCACCTACCTCTGTTTGCTTGGCTTTGTTTTGAGACAAACTCTAACTTGCTGTATGGTGGAGGATGACCTTAAACCCCTGATTGACCTGCCTCCACCGCCAAAGAGCTGAGACTACAGGTGTTTGCCATCATGCTGGGCCTCACAGGTGTCTTAGCCCACAGTGCCTTCTGTGCAGCTGGCTCTCCTAGGTCCCATCTATGTTGTTGACTGTAGACTTAAGCTTGGGACCACAGAATTTACTTCATTGGATTCTGTACTTTGCTGTGGCCTCTTAACTTTTCAATCTTGCTTCTTCTGGATTAAATGATCTCTCCCCCAACTCATTCAGACTATTCACTAGGTTTATAGGTAGAGCTAATACAGACACAGAAGGCACGAGCTCACTCAACCCTCACCATTTCTTTTTAATTGGTTCTGGCTGTTTGTTTCCCAGCTTTTGTGCCCTTTGATGGTAACTCTCTGCACTTGTGACCTCCAGAAGATTTTTCTGTGAATTCATGCATCTTCCCCGTAATCTCCCTGAGTCAATGTTGGACTAGTATGCGAAGACCCAGTATTGAAGAAGGACTAGCTCTGAGATACCATTTACTCCAGAGCTACCCATGGGGTCAGGATAAATTCAGACTGTCACTAAATACTGCATTCTCCCCTCCTGCATTCTCCCTCCCCTCCTCCAACCTCCACTCCGCTTGTGGATCCTCCTGGCAGTAGTTTCTTAATTAGCACTTCTGTTCTGGAAGAAGCAGCCCTGAGATCATGGCTTCAGCACACACAGACACAGCTGGGGAGATGGCTCAGCCTGTACAGTTTATGGTATAGGCATGAAGACCCTAGTTCAATGCCCCGGAACCCACATAAAAAGCCTGGAGTTGTGGTGCATGCCTGTAATTCCAATGTTGCTGAGGTGGAGACAGGAGGATCTCTGGATAGTTGGCTTAGCCAAATCAGCAAGCTCCAAGTTCATAAAAAGACCCTGTTTCAAAAGCAAGGTGGAGAGTGAATGAGGAAGACAGCGTCGAGAACTCACTTCCTTCTTAATAGATTAGCTATTTCATTTTTGGTATAGGTTGAATTACAGGCATGACTCACATTTTAATTCCTCCAAATAGGACCAGTCACTGGCTGAGTAGCTTTCAAGGCAAATCTCCCCCATAGCTTAAGGATACATGTGGGCTTTATGCCACATGGCTCAGTAAAGCCCTAATCCCCAGCATTTCTCCCCTGCCTGCCTCCTGCTTCTGTTATTATTATCTGTGACGCTGGCCGGGTGGAACCTGTTTCCTCTTAAAGACACTCACCAGATAACCTTTCTGAAAAACAGACAGGAGCTTTCTACCCCTGCATCCAAAGGGTTTCTACTACAAGCCCATAGCAGTCACTACTGAGAAAGGTCAGACTGATGCCTTCTTCTAGAATCTGAGGTTTTCTTTGTTATTTTATTTGTCTGAAACAGGGTCTCATGTAGTCCAGATTGATTTCTAACTCAGTGTGTAGCAGAGGATGGCCTTGAACTACTGATGCTCCTGCCTCTACCTTCCAAGTGCTGAGATTACAGGTGTGTGTCACCACACCTGGCTTATTCGGTGCTGGGAACCAAGTCTAGGACTTCATGCATGCTAGACAAGCACTTTACCAACTGAGCCACACTCCCAGCCCTCATTACTCCATTTCAACTGGTTTCTTTCCCTCCATGATGTACACAAGTATTGGTTGCTATCCATTAGGGTGACCTACAATTCATGAAACCCCGGCTTTTGGTTGCTAAATTCTGTGAACTTTTTGAGTTTTGACGGCTACTGGCCTTCCAGCTCAAAGCTCCTCTACATCATTTCACTATGGTCCCTGCAGCCTCTGCTTTCCACCCATCGGTATCTTCATTGCTAATATCTTTCTCAATGCCAATGTAATCCTGTCACTGCCCTGCTCAGAAGTTCAAGGCTCCCTCACTTGAGACAAATCTCAACTGGATCTGGGGACATTGATATTCTAATTCCTCTCTGGACAGTCCCTCTGCCCTAAAGCTATAGTTAAATTGACTACCACATGTCAGGTCCGTGTACAGTCTCAGGGACTTGATCTGAGTAGGAGCGGAAAGGGAAGGAAGAAATGACAGGCAGAAGGACACAGAAAACTAGGATCTGATGATGTGGGCTCTCTGTTGGAGAAACCACAGCACCCTGGAAAGGCCACACATTGATCATACAGAGTTGAACAGAGAGGCAGGGTTATTGCATACAGATAAACAAGGAGGTGGGGTTTATGGAGTACAGCTGGATCAAAGGGACAGGTTGAACTAATCTTGGTAGGAATGGGCTCTGTGGGGGAGCAAGTAGTCTTCAGGCTGTAAATATCCAGGGAGGAGAAAGCTGTGGGAGACATTTTCTGCACACACTGTTAACACTCACACTGTCCCCCAAGGAAGGCTTTGCCGTTCTTCCAAGTCTGAGGCTCTGGGGTCCCTGACACGGTTGTGCCTATGTTAAAAATGTACATTCATTCAGGGTTTCACTCTCTCAGGGCTTCCTCTGTTCCCCAGAACCACGCACTTCCCAGCCCCACTGACCCTGCCCCTTCCCTGTCTCCTCTGTTCCTCCTCATTCTCCAGTGCCAGCTCATGGGCCACCTCCCAGGGCATCTTTCCCTACTTGTATAGACCCAAACATGGATCAAATCTGGTCTTTATCCCGGGACAGAAGGCAAGTTGCCAACATCACAGACTCTGGCGTCATCTAGCCTCAGGTTGAAGCTTGGTTGCACCACTTCCTAGTACTGGTACCACAGGCAAGTCACCCCACCTACTTGCCATTCCATTTCTTCATCGGCAAAACAGGGACCTGATAGCACCTTCCTTATTGTTATATGTTCAGAAGTCTCCAACACATCAACCTATTTCTCTTCATGTAGTACGTACGACGTGAGTCCTAGCCTTCTTTTATTTCCCAAGTGTTTTCTCCCCAATTATATATTGAAACCCTAGACGTCTCTGTATCCCCAGGGTCCGGCAACTTCTATTTGATCAGGAACTTTTCTCGTTCCTGTGACTGAAGCAACTGAAGGGAGAAGGAGCTTATTTTGGTTCACAGTTTCAGGGGATTTCTGTCCAAGGTACAGACAGCATGGTGGCAGGAGTGGCTTAGTCTATGCTGGAAGAAGCATGTGGCAGAGCAGATGTTTACATTTTGGCCAAACAGGAAGCAAAAGAATGGGACCAGAAGTCTGGTCAGGCTATAATGCTCAAAGGCCTGCCGGGAGTGACCCATTGCCTCCAGTTGAACCCTGATTCCTAAAGGTTTTACAGTCTCATGAAAACAAAGCCATTGCCTGTGGACTAAGATGCGGATGGTATAGGCCACGGGGAACATTGCACACTCAAACCCAAACAGTACAGGTTAGCTTGATGAATGTGCCATTTGTTTACTGGGCTGGCTGTGAGGTCACAGCATTGCTTCAGTGAGTTTCTGTCCCCTAGAGTGGGTCAGCAGCAGGTCCAGTCCACGTCTAGACAGGCTTATAAATGCTGAGGATCTGAGGGGGTTGTCTAGGGATTGGGTTCCTTTCAGCCTGCTTTTCTTATCACTAGGCCCTACTCCCTGCCTCTCAGAGGCCTATCAATATGGCGGTTACTCATTCTACTTATGCAAAGGGGCTTTGTAATTCAAAACTCTTGCCCAGGGCTGGAAATGTGTCCTTTCCCATTGTGAACATTTGGTCTCTGTGGCATTCAGAAGAGGAGAATACGCCAGGACTTTGGGATATTGTCACAGTCCAATAAAAGGAAGAAAGGGATTCTTCAGGGACTCAAAAGTGAAGAGGAGACAAACACCAGAAGACCCAGCATGCCCTCAACTCACCTCTTTTGTGTTCTGGTGTCTGGTGGGTGATTCAATTCTTGGTAATTTCTCCCCACAAACAAAAACCATCTTTTCTTCCTAGGACTTTGCTAGAGAAATGGATCCCACCCTAAGGCTCTTAGCTAAGGATGTCCAGAGTTTAGGCAGGCTTCATCAGGAAGCAACAAACACAATTGAGGAAGCAGAGACCTGGAGGATATGAGAGAAGGAGATTCAGTTAAGAAACTGATTCCAAGAAACGGAAAGCTATTTATACAGGCATCTAGAATTTTCTGCACACCTGTGCTTCAGCAGAGGCAATTAGGGCAGGACTTAGGCACATATGGCTATTATGTGGACAGAAAACAACAGCAGCTAAGATGGTGTGTTGGAACTCCTGGTCCCCCCAGCACAGATAATGGCATCCACTCACTATCAATGCTCAAGGAGGGCCTGGGGAGGCCCTGGCATGTTGGAAGATTGCTTGATGGCCTTCTGCACCAGAGCCCTGTCCCTTTTCTCCTTTTTCCTACTATCCCTTCTGTAGACCTTAGAGTTCTCAGCCTTAGAGTCCTCTTTTTATTTTAAAAGATTTATTTCATTTTTAATTGTGTGTGTGTGTGTGTGTGTGTGTGTGTGTGTGTGTGTGTGTGTGTGTGTGCATGCGCGCGCGCGCATGTGCGTACGCGATTGTGTGCGGGCACGCTTGTGTGCAATAGCAGGTACCCGTGGAGCCCAGAAGAGGGCATCAGATCCCCTGGAGCTGGAGTTACAGCATTGTGAGCCATCCTACTTGGGTGTTCGTACCTAAACTGGGGTCCTCTGCAGGAGCATTATGTGCTCTTAACTGCTGAGCTGTCTCTCTAGCCTCAGTTCCTCATTTGAAAGGAATCATTCTTCATTTGTACATCTTCTCCCAGAACTCTTTACAGAAACCCAGCTTTGATTTTTATTTTTCCCCTTCATCTGCACCCACCTTTCCATCGATTTAGATCACCTCCCCACTTTCCTCCTTACTCCTCTTCCCCAGGGGACTTTCTGGGGACTCTCCCATCTTCTTGCTTTGGTAATTCCTGTGCTTTCATCTTTCTCATCTTGGTCAGCCTGCACCTGCTTGTTTGCTACCCACAACACTTTATGATGTTGGCAATCACCCTGGCTGGGCAATTGGGAGCTTTTGGCTAACTTACATTGACAAGTTGCTGGGAGACCCTGGGCTACCTTTTAAGTTGGGCTAGCAAAGATCTTATTTGTTTGGCTTGATTAAGAATAAATTGCAATGTTATTCTGTAATATTTTTCCACCCATTCAAAATTACTGAGCACTTAGCGCATTCTGGTGATGTATTTTGGCTGTGGGGCAGGGATGTAAACAGGAGCTAGCTCTTAACCAGTCACAAGTTGTTGAGATGTTTTCTGTTTGTTGATAACCAAACCATTATATTATGGTGAAAAGTACTTGGGTGGATAGGTGACTTAAGAGCTTCTGTCACCTTGATAAGACACCATAACCAAAAGCAACCTGGGGGGATGACATAGTTTGTTTAAGCGTACAGTTTATAATCCTTCATTGAGGGAAAACAGAGCAGGAACCTGGAGGCAGAACTGAAGCATGCACCATGGAAGAATGCTTCTTATTGACTTGCTCTGTATGGTTTATTCAGTCTGCTTTCTTATACACCTGCCCACGGGTGGCTCCACCCACAGTGAGCTCTTCCATATAAAAATAACAAAATGCCCTATATACTTGCATACAGGCCAATATGATGGAAGCATGTTTTCAGTTAAGGTTCCCTCTGACCAGATGCTCTAGCTATGTCAAGTTGACAAAACAAATAAGCAAAATAACCTAACCAGCACGATGTACAAAATGTAGACGTGCAAATTCCCCTTCTCTCCATGCTGAGCCTATTTTGAATGGTCACTTGGGTGGTTGCCATGATATAAGTAAACATTACTGATGCCAGGTTGTTTTGACTGAGTCTGTAAAAACAGCTCATGTCCTATCTCCTTGGGGCAAAATAGCAAAACGTCATTAACCACTAGCTTCTTTCCACTGAGGTAACCATGCAGATACAGACTAACTCCTAGGGGCTTTCAACACTATCTTTTAAAGATTTGTTTATTTACCTTTTTTTTGTGTGTATGGACATATTATCTGCATGTGGGTATGTGTACCCGTGTGCAACTGGTGCCCCTGGAGGCCAAAAGATGGTGTCAGATCACCTGGAACTGGAGTCACAGACTATTGTTAGCCACCATGTGAGTGCTGGGAATCAAGTTCTGGTCCTCTGCAAGTTCTCCTAACTGTTGAGCCAACTATCCAGCTCCAACAACCACCCTTTGATCACTACTTATTGAAGGATAGACTTGGAGTTTAGGTCTGTAAATGGCACTATTAGGAATGGGGGGGGGGCTGTGTGGAGGAGGATAGAAGGAAACCCCATGGATTTGGGTTTTGGAAGACGTAGGTCTGCAGGAGGAGTAGAGTAAAAAGTCACAGGTATGGCTACTGACCAGTTAGCTCGTGTGTTTGGCCTTAGTTTTCTCCTTTGCAAGACAAGGGTGTTAAAGATGCATGTGGTGGGATGGAGGTGAGGCCTGAGGAGAAAGTGAATATAGAGCCCAGAGAGCACAGGCACAAGGCTGGGAGATGGCTCAGCACCAAGAGAGCTCACTGCCCCTGCAGAGGACACAGGTCAGTTCCCACCATCTTTAATGGGTGGCTCACAGTCAAGAAACTTCAGCTTCAAGGGATCGGATGCCTCTGACCTCTGAGAATACTTGCACTCACCTAGACAAACACATAATTAAAAATAAAAAGTAAATCTTAAACACATACACACACACACACACACACACACACACACACACACATAGTGGTGGTGAGGCTGGTAGAGAGCATCAGGAAGGGCTAGCACAGAATAGGCTCCGTGACTTTGGGAAGTCACTGTCATTCAGACTTGCAGAAAATATGGCTATTTCCTCATCTATAAAGGAGCAAGTTTCACAGGAGGAATTCTGGTTGGCAACATTCTTTGACCATCCTCCCTGCTGGGAGTGCATGAGTGTATACACACACACACACACACACACACACACACACACAGAGAGAGAGAGAGAGAGGGGGGGGGGAGGTTGGTGAGGAGGCTCGGCTTTGCCTGGGTGTTGAATGGAGATACAGTATCTTCCTTTCTCAAAAGCACTTTGGTCCTGCTGGTAAAAATCAAAGCATGCACTCAGGTTTTTACTGACAAGGTATGGGCTCTCTTTAGGTCCTCTCCACCTTTAACCCTTGCACTGTGTGACAAGGTTCCTCAGCAAGGTGGCAGGCCTGCCCTTACTTTGCTCTCATCTTTGCTAGGGGGCAGCAGAGTGCTCCAGCAAGGCCCTAGGGGGCTGACCAGAGTAGGTCACCTCTTAGCTTGGCCACCCAGCAGTCGGTGGGGCTCCTGCTGCCTTACTCAACCCTTGATGAGTCAATATCCTCATCTGCAAAATGGGGTGCAGGTTAATAATGACACCTACCCCAAAGCGTGGTCGTAGAGATTGGTTGACGTAATGGGTGCTCAGCCCTCCCAAGTGGAAACACAGTAATCAGTAAATAAATGTGGTGGACAGCTGTGTCTGGCTTCCTCCGACTTGCATTTCTGGTCTTCAGCTTAGTCACTTCCTCTGGGAGCCTCCTTCTGCACCTGAGAACCTGAGGACAGTTGAACACTCCCAGCACACATACCTGTCTTCTACCATAGCAACGACAGCTGTCGCTTCTCATGGTCCCCATCAGCGTGCAAGTTCTGTGAAGACAGGGATCGGCCGTTTACTAGGAGGCACAAGTAATAGGCACGCAGTAGTTTCTGAATAAATGACACAGAGCAAGGGTCCCAGTGGTCCTCCGGGTTTGGCGGAAAGCATTGGGTGGGGGGATCGTGAGACCGAATGGATAGGCGTCTGAGAGCTGGACCTAGTGTGTGCAGGAAGACTAGACAGGGAGTTTCAGAGAGGATGACGCTCAACTTTGGAGAGAATGAGGCCGGACGGGTCTAACGAGCACTTTGGCCCCGCCCCCTTCCAGGCTCCTCCCAGACCCCGCCCCCGGGCTCCAGCCCTGCGGAAGCTACAGCCTCAAGTGTCTGAGCCTCCCCTGCGCAGGGTGCGCCCCGCACGCTTATCCTGCCCCGGAGCAGTGCTGACACCCAGCCCTCGTTCCTCTGCCGCTGCGAGATGCTGCGCTCCACGTCCACCGTCACCCTGCTCTCAGGTGGCAGCGCCAAGTCGCCTGGGACACCCAGTAGGAGGGTGAGTAGCTAGCTGGAGAAGGAGCTGCCGGGGTCTCCTGTACCCATCCCTGTTGACCCCTCTGTAGAGATGTGGGGAGGAGGATACTTGCGGGTCAGCTAAAGGCCATGGATACTTCATCTTGGCTCAAGTTTCCTGGCCTATCACGGACTGCACAGTGACCCTCTCTTTGGACACCACGGAGGCTGGAAGAGAAGGCTTAGGAGACTCTCTGGAATACCCAGAACCTTCTGCTGCTTGTCTCCACTGTCAAGCCAAGCTTAAATATGGCACTAGTTTAAAAAATGGCAAGGAAGAGTTTCTGAGGTCTCTACCATGAGATGCCCAAGTAATGAATGTATTTAAAATGCCAGCTTTCCTCCATCTCTTGGTTAGGAGCATCGTCCGTGTGTCCATCCACCAGTGATAGAGTGCCTCTGGTTCAGGAGTGGGCTTTGTCAAGGTGGCAGCCTGTTTGCAGGCCAGAGCTGAGCTGCTGACCACCCCCAACTGTGCAGGACTCTGATTTTTGCAGGCAGGCACTTTCTTCTTTGTAGCACTGGGGCCAGTCCTAAAGCCTTGGGCATCATCTCCAGGGAGGTGGCCCTGTGGAAATCTGTTTGCTTCACCACAGTCTGTGCTCTGTCTATTCTCGACTCCTCAGGTGCTCCCTGAAAGCATGGCCACACTAGTCAAGTTTACATTCCATGTCCCTTCTAAGATCACAGCCTCAGAGAACACTGTTAGAGCTTGGCCTGAGGCTTTTTAGTTTTGGTGTCATGATATTGAATACTCATCTCTTCTCTGATCAGGGTACAGTCAAACAGGTTAAGTCCAGACCAAAAGCCCCTTCCGAAGTCAGGCCAGTTTGCTTGAATTGTAGATGTACTTGTTGGCCTTATAAGCCTCCTGATAAGTCACATGAAAGGCATGTGTTGCTTTTGGGTATGGGGCAAGTGATGGTGTGTGTGTTTGTGTGTATGTATGTATGTATGTATGTATGTATGTATGTATGTATGTGTTTGCTAGACACCCAAGGCTGACAGAACTCTGGTTGTCTGATCATTGACTTCATGAAGTAAGCATCACATTTGGTTAGTGGGTTTCTAACCATAGTCCTACCCTACTGCAGAAAGGATATTTGACCTTTCCCATAGAAAGCTTTGTTAATTGGAACAAAATTTTGGTTGACAAAAAAATGACACCAATGAAAAGATAGCCCTGACCTCTGCATAGCACCTCAACCCCCCAGGGAGATTCTGGTTGAGGTAAGTAGTGGGATCCTGTGGGTGAATACAGATGTGGCTGGTGCACTCAATAGCATCTTTGAGGATATTTCCCCCATTGAATGGTGATTTGACATCTGGACACACTATGGGGTAAGACTGCATCAAAACATTGGGCTGAAGAACTCAGGCCTCTGACTGGAACATACTATCACTTCTTGTGGACAGACTATTTCTAAAGGTTCTAGGTTCTAGGTATGTGTGTGTGTTGGCATTGGCAGGGCCATGTGTTGGGAAGCTATGGTGTGTTGATTGACTAACTGACTCACTGAATATTTATAGATCTATTTCTGTGTGCTACAGGGCTGGGCACTCAGCTCCACTCTACTCCTTGAGGCAGGCATTGTCACAAATGATAAACAGTGATGACTTTTGTAGTGAGCAAAGTGTTTTCAGGGTTCAGTGACGATAAAAGGAAGGCTCTTTCTGGGGTGTGTGAGGCAAGCCTCTCCCTGAAGGTGAGCTGCTAGTTAGCCTTCCAGCAGGAACAGGAGTTTGGAGGCTAATTGGCACGACTGATTGTGAAGAGAGGCTTATCATTTCTCTCAGTGGATACTTGAGTGACATACACTGTAGGATAATGTGTGTCAGACCTGCTTTGGAACAAAACACTGACTTTAAAAAAAAAAAACAAAAACTTTTAGAAACACAAGAAAATAAATGTATTCACTAAATAAATAACCATGAGAAATGTTTCTGAAATTGAAAAGTTTTCAAGAAATTCTGTATCCTGTAGTTTCTTCCCTGGTATTGGACAAGAAATAGTCTCAAACTGGGATACTTTGGGGGCATGTTCAACCTGTCTCCGGTGGGCTGCCCGTGGCCAAGGGTATCTGTGAATGTAGTCCAACAGAGTCAGTAATGTTCTTAGAAAACCACCCCATGCTTGTGTTTGTTCTGTAACTCACCTGCCTTGTTCTTGAGTGTGAGCTCTGTAAAGGACAATGGCGAGTCTCAAAGTCAAAAGGTCTCCTAGCTACCAAAATAGACGGCTTTATCCAAAGGGCTTATCAAAGTAGTGGCGGTGGGGAAAACCAGGCTGTGCTGTCGCAGACTTCAAGCCAACCAGAAGTGGTGGTGATGGGTGATGCTGTACAGGAGTTGCCCTGAGTCAGATGCAAGGGCAGTGTGGCCGACCAGGCTGTCACAAGTCACCCTTTGTTCAGTGACTGCCATCTGCAAATGTACTTACTTCCCTCTTATCTGAAATCATCCCTGGGCTCTAAGAGGCGTTCATACATACTAACCAGTGGGAATTAAAAAAAAAAAAAAGATTTACCTTCAAACCATTTGTGCACTAAAAATAGTTTTATCTATGGCAACAGTGGGAAGATAAAGTGTTTGGAGAATAGGTACAGCTAGAATGATGACCTTGGGGGATGTGGGGGTGGAATTAAAAAAAAAATAGCTATTTGAAGGACTTCATTGAATTTGAAAGGGATTTTGTAATTGAAGGTTAGCCTCACAGCCTAGGCCTTTGAAATGAAGTCAGTTATGGGGCCAGGTTGTGTGCCTGGAGTGGAAAGCACGTGCTGTTTGGCAGCTCATCCATTGGGCTAGAGCAGAATCGACTGTGAGGTCTGTCACCTGCCACAGGGTCTCTCCTGTACTGTATTCTGCTGAGAAAAGGAGGCCTGGCTGCTTGTAGCTGGTATTGTGACCCTTTGGTGGAGTAAAACAGCCCAGCTAAAACAAACCCAAACAAGGCATGGGCTACGTCTGTTTCCTAGCGAGCCCTTCCCTTGGCAAAGGCCTTCTCTCTTAAAACCCAGCCCCACTCCCTGCTGATGCTGTGCTCACCAGAGTCTCATTCCTGCCTTGTTGGTTCAAAAATAAGGAATTCCCCTTGACTGGCATGTGAAAGGAGCTGGCAGGTGTTCACCCAGCTTCTTCTTCTCAATGGAGGAAACAGTCTGTATAGCCCTGTATCATGTATCCCCTTGGAATACAAGGAGGGTGTGCACATAACTCTACCATCCTGTAGGATCAGAGGAAGGGACGTGGGATTTTGGGGGAATTCAGCATCTGACGGAAGGAAGCCAATTGCAGTATCCACTGGGGGAGAGAGGGGATTTTCATTGCATTCAGAAAACTGCCTGCCTGGCTCCTGCTTGGGATCCTCTGAGCCAATTCCTGATGGGCCAGGCTATGGTCTTGGAACTGTAGCATCACTAGAACTTAAACCAAAGACCGCTGCCACCAACACCTGACAGTTACAGGCTCAGAAAAGCACCAGCTTTCCCCCCTTTCTTTTGTTTTCCTATCTTGCCTGTGTAGTGTAGGGTGGTCAGACATGGGGCTCTCAAAGACACTGGTTTGTGGAGAGTTCCACACTTATTCTGCAGTATATTGAATGGAAGTCTAGCTGTGTTCCTAGGCCACTGCAGAGGTCTAAATGAAGTCCCTGTTGATGTTTTTCTGAGCTGTGCATCCACATCCCAGCAAGGGACCTGGAGTTTTGTGTCCCCACCTAGCTTCTTGGTGGCTGGTGCATGCTTCCATGTGAGTGAGCCTCAGTTACCTGATTGAATTCGAGAGCTGACTCGCTGGAGTTGAACCTGGGGTTCAGCCTGAAGCAATCCATCCTGCTTTATGGTTTAATATGGCCCCAGTACTTTTCCAGTGTGTAGAATAATGCAGTAGTGTTTGCCTCTTTACATCTTCCGATGATCTGTGTCTCCTAAATGTCAATCATATCACTGACTCATATCCATTCTTTATGGAAGAGAATGGTCTTTTCTAACATGCAAAATGCAGCCACCTGGTTCTTCTGCTTCAGGAACCTCTGTAAAGCCAAACTCCTAGTGTAATGTTCAGGTTCCTGGCCCAACTCTTGTCTTAATTATCCTATATCTCTAACTCTTCCCAGGTATTCAAGCTCTCACCTACCACTCTGGAGCTTCCAATGCAGTTTTTCCCTCTTTGCTTCATGCTTCTCCCCTATTGAGAATCTGAATCTGCCTTGAGTCCTCTTCTCCTCAAGCTTGTGCAACCCAGGTTGTATGAAGCTGTGACCGCTTTCGAAGCTCTAGAGATGTGTTATGTTAATATAGTGTTCCCCACACAAACACAAGTCCTGAGTTTAAGCCCCAGAACCCATGTGAATAAAATGAAATAAAATAAAATAAAAATCCAAGCAATGGGGAGGCAGACACAAGCAGATCCCTAGGGATTGATAGCCTATTTGGTGAGTTCCAGGCTACTGAGAGACCGTGTTTCAGTAGAAAACTAAGGTGGGTGGCACAAGGTATAATGACAGCCAGAGTCCCAAAGAAACCACATGCCGCATGCATTTGGGAAAGGAGAACTTAGGAAGAGAAGTTCTGGGATCAAGCCAGCCTAATGCCTCAGACCTACCTGGGAAAGATGCAGGTGACACGTGGATAGAAATGCTGGCCCAGGCCACACTTTTGACAGTTCTGGCAAGGCCTCCAAGTACCCTCCTTGCCTCTTACTCTGCCACCGTTGGGATTTCATTTATTGGGTTAATTTGGTGACTCTCAACCTTGGATCTACATGGAGTTACTAGGCAACTTAAAACAGTTATGTCTGGGTCCCCCTCAAAACCACCTCAGGCTTTTGAACTGTGTGGAACACAGGCTGAAAGTAAGGACTAGTCCCTGTGTGTCTTGGGAAGCACCATGTGACTGTGTGTACAGCTGAGGATAAGAGTGTTTCTTTATGCAGAAAGGCAGACATTCTGGGGCCTTGTGGTTGGCCATCAGGGTTATGGGT